GATGGTCTGTTCCACAATCAGCTCCTGGCCTGGTTTTGGCTGAAGATATTGAGCTTTTCCACTGCCTCTTGCCACAGATGTAGTCAATCTGATTATGTATGTAGAAAATAATGAATCCCTAGATAAATTATTAGAATTTTGAAAAATGAGTTTAGCAAGGCTTCTAGGTACAGTCATTAAACAAAAATGAATTACATTTCTGTCTACCAGCAACAAATGATTAGAAAATGAAATTTATAAGAGCCCATTTTCAGTCTCCCCTCCCCACTATGGGAAGCCTCTGCTGTCTGTCATCAGAGGGCTCCACCTTAGGCATAAGCACATCAGCCCAAGGAAGACAGTAGTTTTACCAGGGCGCTCTCAGGGTTTCTTTCCCTGCTCACTCTCTTAAATTGTCTTCCTGTGTTGGTATCTATCACTCCCAGCTATTGTTAGGCTTCACTAATTGGGGTCTGATTGTTGTATTGTTTTTGACAATGCTCTGAGAATATTGCTTCACAGTCTGATCTTATTAAATCTGTGCTCCCTTATAGAAGTAAGGCACTCTGGTGGTATAGCGGTCAGGGCATTTGGTTGCTAACCAAAAAGACAGTGATTCGAAACCACTAGACAGTCTACGGGAGAAAGATGGGGTGGTCTGCTTCTGTAAAGATTTACAGCCTTGGAAACCCAATGCAGGGGTCACTATGAGTCAGAATCCACTTGGTAGCAGTGAGAATTGTAGAAGTAGTTTTTGAGGCCAGTATTTGAGTTTTTCTGAACTCAGGAAGGCTCTTCTTAACCTTTTCTTTGTGTCTTTCTGGTAAACTACCTGGCCTACAGTTTTAACTTGTTGCTTTCATGGAGCTGCCACCAAAACCAAAAACCCACTCACTGCCACTGAGTCAGTTGATTCATAGTGACCCTATAGGACAACATAGAACTGCCCCATAGGATTTCCAAAGCTGTCTAATGCATCATTGCATAGCCAGAGCCAGAGAAAATCTGAAGTATCATGTAAAATAAAACATGTACATTAGCTTTATACTATGAAAGCATTTTGGTGAAATATATACCAACTGTAATTATGCTTTGGTGAGCCTATAGTTTGAATTATATTCCTTGAGGAAACAGTCATAGTTTATTCATCCATAATGTTTACTTCTGTATGTCAGGCTGCATTCTAACTGCTTTATGTATATTAACCTATACATCTCAAAAACTGTATGAAGGTAAATGCTATTAGTATCTCATTTCATAGGTGAAGAAACTAAGGCCAAGAGTGGTTAAGTAACTGCCAACAGCTAATAAATAACGAAGGTAGAATTTGTACATGTATTTTCTGTATCTTCTCTTGTCATCTTTTTTTAAGTAGTATTATAATGGAGTAATTACCAATTTCTAAATTTATTTGCATAGGGAAATGAATAAGCGTCTAACAGAAGAACAAGCCAGAAAAACATTTGAGAGAGCCATGAAACTGGAGCAAGAATTTACTGAACATTTCACAGGTTCGCATCATGTGTAATAGTACCTTATGGGGAATTTTGCTTTGAAGCCACGTGCACTGACACCCTGAAATGGATTTTGCCCATTACCCATGTCTACCTGTAATAACTGTTGTTGTTGTTGTTGTTATGTGCCGTTGAGTTGGACCCAACTCATAGTGACCCCTCCTTGGGTTTCCAAGACAGTATCACTACGGAAGTAGATTGCCCCATCTTCCTTCCGAGGAGTGGCTGGTGGGTTTGAACCACTAGCCTTCTGGTTAGCAGTCAAGTGCCTTAGCCACACTAGCGTTTTCAGAGTAAAACCTTTAGGCCTGTAGCTTTTTTCCTGTAGGAAATTCATGTAGCCTAGGCAGTGGTGGGGAGCTCTGGTAGCGTAGTGGCTAAGACACTTGCCTGCTAACCAGACGGCTGGTAGTTCAAACCCACCAGCCACTCCTCGGAAGGAAGGTTGGGCAATCCTACTTCCATGGTGATACTGCCTCGGAAACCCAAGGGGAGGGGTCGCTATGAGTCGGGGCAGACTCCACGGCACATAACAACAACAGGCAGTAGTGATTGGGATTTGTTAAATTTAGTGACTTTTGGGTTATTAAATAAGATACATATGACCAGAGAAAAAATAGATTCAGACTTGGTTGTTTCTTTAATACTCTCATTTTTGTCTTATCTTAGATATATTTTAGTCCATTTAAAACATTATTTGTTTAAAAACAGAAAAGTATGCAGCAGTTCCCTGATAGTTTTCTCTCATTCATATTGTTCTTTTAAGTTATTCTTTAGGTGTCCTTGAGCAGATTTTTTGTTTGTTTGAAAGATGACCAACCTGTATTTGGTATGCATCTTGAGTACCAATAACTGTCTTGGAAAGAAACCCTGGTGGCACAGTGGTTAAGTGCTCAGCTGCTACTCAAAAGGTCTGCGGTTTGAACCTACAAGCCACTCTGCAGGAGAAAGATGTGGCAGGCAGTCTACTTCTGTAAAGATTTACACCCATGGAGCCTATGGAGCAGTTCTGCTCTGTCCTGTAGGGTTGCTGTGAGTCAGAATCCATTCAGTGGCAGTGGGTTAAGTGTCATGGTTGGAAGCCATATGCATTTTTTTTTCCATTTTATTTTGAAATAATTTCAGACTTGATGAAAATCTACAAGAACAGTACAGAGACTTCTCATACAGTCTTCACTCAGATTCTCTAAATATTAGATTGTACTGCTGCTATAATTTTTCTTCTAAAACATTTGAGAGTATGTTGTATATAGATGACCCTTAACTCTAAATATTTCTGTATTCCCCCCCTAAATAAAAAACAGGGACATTCTCTTACATAATCAAAACAGTTATCAAAATCAGGAAATTTAGTATTGACATATATCATCTAACTATAGATTTTTTTCGTATTTTGCCAGTTACCCCAGCGATACCGTTCACAGCAAAAACAAAAAACTTCCAGTCCAGGACTACATCTTCCATTTAGTATGAAATGTCTTTAGGCTGCTTTATTCTGAGAGAGTGCCTCGGTCTTTGTTATTCATGCCTTTAACTTTATCTATCTTTTTTTTTTTTTTAGAGCGAACTCCAGTTATTTTGTAGAATGCCCCTTCCTCAATTTAAATTTGTCTGATGTTTCCTCATGACTAGATTTCAGTTAATTATTATCACTTGGTTAAGGTATCTGCAGTCTATGCTTTTCTATTTCTCTCCCAAGGAGAGTCTTACTTCACTAACTATTCAATTAATGAATTTACAAACTATGCCAAATGCATGTTTCTCAAGCCCAATTTTTGAATGATTCTTTTCTCCTAAAATAAGTTACTGTGTTCAGTTGTCTGCTTACACATGAAATACTTTGAGATTCCATTCTGTGCTATCAAAATACCAAACTGGTTAACTAAGGTTTTTGTCAAATGGACTGTGTTTTCAGGGACATAAGGCATGTCTGTATTTAGCTCAGAATGTGAACTCTCACAGAGCTGATACTGTTAAATAGAGTATTATTTGTAATTTTTTATTAGACTTTCTTAGCTGCATATGTTCTAAGCAGTCCTTATACACATACAGCATCCTACTAATGGGTGCATAATTTCAGTCCCTAAGTAGATTGTTTTCTTGGAGATCTCCATTTGATGTTTTATGCTAGGTTACTGAGACCATGTAAATCTACATCTATTAGGCTCTTCCAAAATGACTGGGTTTTTTTTTGGTTGGTTGGTTGGTTGGTTTTTTAAGGTTTTTGTTTGTTTATTTGTTTTATTCTGGACTTTTTTTCAGTTATGTGTGAATAGTTTTTTTTTCTTATTAAAACATGATTCATGCTTAGTGCTATGTGATGAGATTTCAAGGACTTTTTATGAGTTTTTATTTTATTAGCTGATCTTCACTTCCTCATAGACTTCTGGGTCTCCAACTCTCCTCAGAGGATTAGTTGTTAGTAATCATTACCATTTTTTGATCCACACATTATTTCAGGCAGTAAATAAATCACCTAACATTAATCCTGATAGTCCTTTACTGCTACCAGACCAGATGTTGAATCTTAGTTCACCTGTAATATAGCACCTGACAGTTAACGACCATGTGAAGAAAGTGGTATCAAATAATCATGAATCAGCTGTTTTTCTCTAAAATCCTACCCCAAAAAATGAAATAAAAAAGTTGTCATGCTCTGTACCCATTTTATTTATTTTCTATATATACTTATGGAGAAATTAGGAAAGTTATATTGCATAATTTTTAAAAAAACAAAAGAATAAAGATAACATATGTTCAGGTGATTAACAAAACAAAAAAAATAATGAAACAATAAGACAAAGTAAAAATTTAAAATTGTTTATATTATACAAATAGGAAAGCAAGTGAAACAGACAGTTTTTACTAAGTACTCTTTCCGAGATTTAGCTTGTACTGTTTCACTAGTGATTGTAATAGCAAAGATAGACAGTGGAAGTTTCTGATTTTGTTTCTGTCATTACAGCTATTGTACAGGGAGATACGCTAGAAGACATTTACAACCAAGTGAAGCAGATCATAGAAGAACAGTCTGGCCCTTACATCTGGGTTCCGGCAAAAGAAAAGTTATGAGGACTGATGTTTCGGTTTCGTTTTACGCATTCTCATTTCCTTTCTTTGACACATCTTTGACTTTTCCTTCTGGTGTCCATCTTTAATACTCCTCCATGCTGAATCATATCCCACTCATCATGGTCTCCAATTGCACTTCCATTTGACATCTGATGTCCCCTTCAGGTTGCATCATCTGTGTTACTTTATGTCACTGTTGATTTGTGGCCATATTTCAGAACTAAAGATGGAATGGCCTGATCAGCTATTAAGGGTTTGGGGAGATGGGGAAATTATGGTAAAATTCCTTAATGTTTAAGGGAAAGTAACTTTAAGAGATTTACAGAAAAGCTTTATATACATTCTTCTCAGATTTCAATACAAATGAGAGAACAGTGGTCTTAATCAGTGATTTAATAAACTTTGAGCAACTATGCACGTTTACTTTTTCATAGCATGATTTGGCCAGTGCATTAGCTCTCAACTCCTTTTCTGAATTGACTTCTGTTATCAAAGCAAATATTTCATTAAGGAAAATAAGTTTTTTAATTTCAAAATTAATGCCTGAATTAACTTTCAAAATTTCACAAAGGATATTCATTTTTCATAAGTCTTCTTAAAGTCTTTAATTATTTGAGGTTTTTTCCAAATACATATGCTAGGAATAACAATGTTCAAATGATTTCAGTCTATTTGTACAATAACACAATGGTGTCTTACGAAGTTGTTTATAAAGAACGATCATCGTATTTTCTGAATTGAGGCCAGGTTAGGTGCTAGAGGAGCTCACCTTTCACACAGAAGTTGAGGAAATGTCATAAACATAAATAGAGACAAAACAGACATTACAGTGGTGATGTAGTATAATCATTATGGCAATGGAAAAGGAGTCCAATTCATAGTCTAAAACTTTAAATGTATTCTTAGGGGTCAGATTTTAATGAATATTTTACCCACAATAACTGCCTATTTTGTTATAATAAAGTATATATATATAAATATATATGAAACTTTCTTTAACTAAACTGTAACTATGGGAATTATTTTCTTTACATAGTTGCACACACATGCGCATATATATATTTAAAATATATTTTTTCTTTTGCCACCTACTCCTAATTTTTGTTTCATTTTGTTTATAAATTAAAATTAATTGATTAGAGTTTATCTTCCTTAATCATGTGAACTGAAAATAGGGGTATGGTGGTTGTGGGGAGGAACTTTTGGGGAAAATTAGATTACGAATAAAAGTATGGGCATGTTCTCCTCTTTTCTACAAGTCCTCAAATGGTTACTGTTTTGTTGTTGCTGTTTGGGTTTGTTTTCGGTCCTCTGCCTTTCCTTCCAGCTCTCCTCCCTTCATTAATGAGAAAAGAGGCAAAACCTCCACTCACGTGTGTTTCCCCTCTGACCGTGCATCTGTCATCTCTCATAGCTGCTCTGCACTAGAGTTGCACATCTTGGTGCTGAGCAAATATAAGAATTTTTAGTGAAAGATAGAAATAATTTCAGAAATCAGTTTCTCTGGTACTTTGTAATAATATGATTTGGCTTTCCATTGCTTTTTGAAGTTTTTTGGTTTTTTTTTTTTTAATTGTGTCTTTGACAACCTCCTCATTATATAATGTTTCTTAAATGAGCACTGGTTTGTGAAGAATTATCAACAATTATCCATTCCATTTATGAGAAAGAGGAGAACAGCTAATAAACTTTATTGTAAAATTTGTATGTGGAACGTGTCTTGATTTTGAAAGAAAAAATCATTTTACAAGCTAGCATTTTCTTAGAACGGTTTGGTATATCACGTAATTTATAATCCAGATTCAAGAGCTGTGAGGCAACGTAATCAGAATCTCTTCTGTGGGTTTTGGAATTAACACATTTCAGCATGTAATATTGCTTTCACGCTACATGTAGTAGGCTGTTGCCAAACATAAACATTACCAGAAGAAAATGATTGTAAAGTGATCTCAGGAGGCCCAGAAGTTATTTTGCAGCAAGATTTCAGTGTAAGCTCTTTTGAATTATTTACAAACAGTCACGTGTTGTAAAATATCAGACAGTTACAAAATGATGCTTATGTGTTAAAATAGCTGCATTACACTGTTTACTGGATATCCTTGTTGAGTAATTTTTTTTCATGAGAAAATACTTTTATTCTGCTTTCTAGGTTGTATAGGATTATTAGTAATAAAATTACTAATTGCTGGAGTCCTTGGAGGAATATATTACACTTGGTAAAGTAGAAAACTCAAACCAGTCCCACTGCCGATGAGTCAATTCCAACTCATAGGGACCCCCATTGGGTTTCCAAGGCTGTAAAGCAGACTGCCGCATCTTTCTTACACAGAGCAGCTGGTGGGTTCAAACCAGTGACCTATTGGTTAGTAGAAGGTCAGCAGAAAAGGGGAAGACCCTCAAAGAGGTGAATTGACACAGTGGCTGCAACGATGGACTCAGGCATAGCAAGGATTGTGAGGATGTCACAGGACCAGGCAATGTTTTGTTCTGTTGCACATGGGGTCACTCTGAGCCAGAAACAACTTGATAGCACCTAACAACTATACAGCTGCCACTTGAAGTATGCTTTTCACTTAATATTAAAAAAAAATTCTGGTTATTGTTACTAACTAGTCCTATTATGAGGCTGAAATGAAATCACTTGTCCTAGATTATTTAACAAGTGCTTGAGATTCATTGATAAATATTCCAAGCCTCTACACCAAGTCCATGTTCTTCCCAATCCACCATGCTACCTTGTTTTCAGCATTTCCTCAGTAAGGCACTGTGAGTCACTTTCTCTAATTGCTGTACCCGTTTCCAGACAAGGAGAGAGACAGCTGAAGACCCTTGCCCACAGTCACACAATTAGTAAAGAGACTAATAAAACAAGCCACCACCCCCAATAGTTCAGAAGGGTGTTCCTGGGAAACAAGGCAGCCTCTGCTGTCACAGTGACATAAAAAGGGAAACCTCTTTAGAACCAAAATGTGAACAATATTGATTGGAAAAAAAAGTCTATTCTAACACAAAAATACTATTTCAAATGCTCTCTGAATATTTTTAACATGCCTCCTAATATCCTTAGTTAGCAAATACATATATGTATCTCTTTGAAAGTGGCTACACATTTCTGCTTACTCCTATTATCAACCCAGGCTTTTCAGTAAACTGGAAGCAAGCTTCCAGAGCTCACTGAACAGACACATTCTGGTTAGTAAATACTGTGAAACCACTGTGGTACTTATGAAGTGGCAATTTGGAGTTTTTAATAATGAAAAGCATTTATTGTCTTAAGTATTAGGGCAAACAGTTACCTTCCAAGAGTTTCTGGCCTTGAATATTCTTAATTTACAGGTGGTGAAATGGAAGTTCAAAAATGCCTGTGTCTTAACCAAGGTTACACTGCAAGTCAGAAACAGAGCCAAGAGTACAACCTTTAACGCTTGGCTCCTGAAACACTGTTTTTCTACCACTTCAGCTCCTTTTCCTCCTGTGTTGTGAGCTGAATTTAATGAGTTATTCAGTCCTTGGATGTTTGAATTACTGATTTAAAGAAAGTAGGTATCAGTAAGTTAACGATACTTCATTAAGACGTTTGCATTTTGAAAGACATCAAATATGAATGTCATTTTTCTGGCTCAAATTTCAGTCATCTGGTGTTTTTGTCCAGTCTTTTAAGATTCCATTGTTCAGTGGAACCTTCCAGTGTTCTCACTGGCTTTGGCAACAGTGTACTATGACATAGAGAAAGGGCTGTAGATGCAGATCGGGACTTGAATGCCAGTTCTGTCACTTAATGGTTATATAAGTGACATTGGGCAAGTTATGTCATCCCTTTTAACTGTTTGCTTATCTGTCAAGTGGAGATATGTTAAGGATCAGTTATATAAATAATGGGTGCTGGCACTTAGTACACTCTGAATTTCCCTTTTCCTTTGGAATCAGAAGCCTAGATTTAAGTTCCAACTTCCCTTATGCAGATTAACCTGAGCTTTAATTTTGCCATATCTTACACAGGGTTTGCCAAAGCTTAGCAGCATTGTCAAACCAAAAAAACCAAAGTCACTGCCGTCAAGTCGATTCCAACTCATAGTGACCTGTCCTTGGGTTTCCGAGATGGTATCTCTACTGAAGTAGAATGCCCATTCTTCCTTCTGAGGAGTGCCTGGTGGGTTTGAACCACCAGCCTTCTGGTTATCCGTCAAGCACTACGTAGCCACAGCCATCCTGATAGCTCTGTACAGCCCTAAACCCACCAGTCCCTAGCAATTCTTCAGATATTGATTGTTGAAGCTAAAAACAGGCCTGTGACAATATAGTAGAAAAGATAAATCACCCACATAAAATCCATTTTCCTTCATTCAGTGTTAGGAATAGTCACTATTTACTACTTACTATTGACTTTCCACCACCAGCTCTTTCTCCATCCCATTGTCAAATGCTGTTACCTAAGACCTGGCAAAATAATACTCTTATTTGAGACTTGTGAGAACAGGTCCCAAACCTGACTGAGGAGCATTTCCACGCTTAGGATTTCTCTAGTGGTCTCTATTACCTATTGTAGCAGCAGACCTGAATGAGGAGAATTAGGAGAGGGAGACCAGGGAGCAGGGAAGGCTGCAATTCTCTTAACTATGTTTTTTAACTTCTTATTGAAGTATACTGAAATGTACATATATAAGTACATATACATCAAGTTTTCACAAACCAACATGACCATGTAACTTAAAAATAGCATATGCCAGGACCCCGGAAGCCCCCATCAGTTCATTCACAGTCACTACTACACCAAGGGTGGTAGTCATCCCGACTTTCTGGTTACACTTTTTTTCATTGTACATAGGGTTGCTATGAGTCCTCTCGACATCACCTAACGACAGTAGTAAAATTCTTCATAGTGTACCATTATATGAGTTTTGACATGTGCTTAGAGTTGTTTAACCACTGCTGCAATCAAGAATACAGAACAATTCCATCATCCCCCCAAAAAAATGCCCTCATTCTGCCCCAGTTAGTAACTCCTCCTATGCCTCAAATCTGTTTTCAGTACCCAAAGTTTTGCCTTTCGCAGAATGTCTCATAAGTGGAATCATATAGCATGTAATATATTAGGTGTGGGTTCTTCCACCTCACAAAATGCATTTGAGAGTCATCCATGGGGCTGCATGTGTCAAGTTTGTTCCTTTTCATTGCTGAGTAAGACCTCATGGATGTATCCACTCACTTACTGAAGGCCACTTGGGTTGTTTCCAGTTTTTTCCACTACATTTGTGTGCTGCTTTGTCACCCTGGACCTGCAGGGACAAGGAGCAGCAACCTCTTGGAAACCAAGAAATGGATTTCTGACGCTAAAAGCCATGACAGGCTCTCTCCCACCCACCCTCATCAACACTGAATCTCCACACATTTTGGTGGTTGCACAGGAGCCTGTTATCCCAAAAGAAACATTAAATGTGGCATAATAGATCCCAAGAGTCTGTTTACAGAACAAATATGTGCTTAAAGTAGGAAACTACAAAGAATGAGCAATTTGAATGTTTAGAATTTCAAATCCTCAGGCATAGCACTGAGCTGATCCAATAGCCGGATGTGCCAGTGACCCGAGCCAGGTTCTCATTGCTGGTGCCCTCAAGGAAATAAACTTCATCCATTTAGGACAGTAGCAAATGAGAAGAGAACCATTCTGGGCAACAAACTGAAAACAAGTCATGATCGGTGTAATAGCTTTCTTACAATGTAGAAAATACTCCATGGAGACAAAGCCTTGATTTTTCTTTAAAGAAAACCTAGTTTGTTGAACTCTAGGCAAAGGATTGTAGTATGTTTTTCAAAATCATTGCCTACTGGTTTTCTTTAGGTGGTGGCCTCTGTGCCTTTTCAATATTATTAATATTATACATGATTAACAACAGTAGTGCAGTGTACTTAGGGAACTCTTGACTCAGAACCGCCCCCACACATTGGTTTGACACTTGGACTCTTCTACCTCAGCTAACACATGACCCTGCCAATCTTTTCCATTCCTATCACTGTGTGATAACTTTTAATGTGTGTGTCTGCAGAAAATCCTTTCTATTGAGTCATTCCTTTAAACGACTCTTAAGTTTGTTTCTGCATTATTACTTATATTGATTATATATTCATTCCGATTTCTGCTACTCAGTTGTTAATGAGCAATTTCATTACAGCATTTTTTAACTACAGTAGGATTTAAAAAAAAAAAGTACACAAAACAATTATAGCATGTAGAACTTCAGATACAGTATAATGAATTTTCTGATGAGAGAAAATAAAGATTAGAACAAGTGAAATAATCTTTCTTCTTTAGGATGTTTAAAATTAGGCTCATGTACCACACAGATGGGATGGCTAAAGAAAAGATGAAGTGTATGAAAGTCCCATATGTTCCTCACCATGAATGTCTGCAGAAAGGTTTTCTATATCTTCTAAGAGTCATTGGCTCAAAAATATCTACTTCCTTAGTGATATTTAAGACTAGAAAAGACATCTCTTGATGATGGATCCTTTTCTTTCTCTGGAAGTTCCATGTTTGGTTCATATCTAGTTTATCTGACATTCCTCACTTATTTTTGCCAGGAAAAAGCTTTACAAAGTTTTAAACTATTTTTCTACTTATGGCTAGGAATGGTTGTAATGAGAATACTCAGTCAATCACCAAACTTTAACCTTAGAACTTCTTGACATTTTCCTTCCTCATCGTACAGTCCATCACCAACTACTACTGATTCTTCCCTAATGTTATCATGTTGTCTTGCTATCATTTCCACTGTCATTATTCTAATCCAGATCCTTACCGACCCCCACTCCAAACCCCAGGCCTGAACTATTGTGTGGCCCCTTAAATCATCTCCCAGACACTAATCTGCTCCCTTGGTGATCCAGCTATCCATCAGATGACTTTTCCTTGAGTGCAACTTGGATCATGCTTCTCCTCTTCTTTGTGGAGTCCTAGATCCATACTAATTAAGTTACCTTTACAGTATATTTCCAGGAACATAGTATGTGGTCAATAAATGCTCTACCTCCACCTTCCTCCCTGCCATAGTGTTTGTTCACACACATCTTCTGCCATGCTTGTCTACTGGCTGTTT